TGGATGGATGGATGGATGGATGGATGTGTGGATGGATAGGAGGAAGGGTGGATGGTTAGTCTGATACAGAGCAGTTTCCACAAAACTTCCACAAACTTAAAACTGACTTGTAAGTTCTTACATTGCCAAGTAAAGTTATGGAAAACAACAAGCCTTCCCCTACCATCACTGTTGTTTGTAAACAAAACAATGCCCTGGAAGAAAACAATGCTGGCAAACTGTGCTGCTTGGGGAAGGACAGGATGTAAGGTGCTTAGATTGATCTTGGTGGGAAACGCACGGTGCTTCTGCTGGGAAGGCTTCCTGGGTGCGACACTCAAGCACTAGGGATTTGGCGCATCCACATGCTTCCAGTTGCCACCAGGGCAAGACCCCCTTTGGCACTTCCTGGCTATGCTACAACCCTGAAGCTTGCACACCCCGCAGACATGTGCTCACCACCTCCCATGGCTCAGGAGCTGTCTCCAAAAGATCATAAAAAATAAAAACTAGAACACTGAAGACAAGGCCTCCATCGTCCCAGGCGCTGTCTCCTATCTCCTAAGTCCCCACCAGCCCGGCAGAAAGCTTCTCTGTGGAGTCTTGGGGAACATGTGGGTGTGTGGCTCCCCTCAGGGAGCAAACAGACGCACGGGCATCCCCAGGCAGGCTGTCCCCCTCCGGAGGGCCTGGCTGGGACTTCGGGGACCAGGGGCTCTGTGGGCGGCGCTCTCACATGCCACATTCCAGCAGTGCTGTCAGCCACAAACCAGGATCTTGAGGCTTTGGGAGAGCGGGGAGCAAATAGCAAATAACCCCCACGTGGGCTGGGGCTGATGGGCGGGGGAGCCGGAGAAGCCCAGGCAGCCACTTCTCTGGGGGCCGGGACTTCAGGGCCTGGGTTCCCAGATGCACCCTGGGGACTGCAAAGGGCTCTGGAGGATGGCCCTACTACCCCCAGCAAGCCCACCAGAACCCTTGCCATGGTTCTTTCTATCACCAAGCCCTTGGGGTAACCTGAGCAGCTGCCCCTTCTTTGAGGTTCTTTTTTTCTTTATTTTTGTTGTTTGTTGTTGTTGTTGTTACTGTTTTGGTTTTGGTTTTTTGAGACAGGTTCTCACTGTGTACCCCAGGCTGGTCTTGAATTCTATAGCCTGGGCTGGCCTTGAACTCCCAGCTGTAACTCCTGCCTCAGCCTCCTGAGTGCTGGCAAGACTGGTGTGCACCACCACGCCTGGCCGCTAGCCCTGGTTTCATATATTCCTTTGTCTGAGTGCTTTACCCCGCACCTGGATTTCTCCTACAGCCCCCATCAGCTTCCTATGGCCCCCTCTGCTTCAGCTTCTTTGAGCCACTTGGCCTTGTCTCACACACCCTCCGACTAATTTCCTTCCTTCTAGCAGTCTGAGGAAGTCTTCATTTGCTGCCTGACTTCAGATCCCCCTCCTGACTCCATTCTGCCTCATTCCTGCCCTTCCTGTACCCCACCGCACATGACCTGATCCTCGTCTCCCCAGGGAAGGATGGTGGCTGGAAGAGAGGACACAGGAAGTGACCGGCTGCCAAGAGCCATGGGTGGCCATGCAGGACATCAGAGCAGGGAGGAGGGGAGATGATCTGTTCCAGTCCCACTCCAGCCCGGCTCCCACAGTTCTCTGTCCTTTGAGTTCAAGTTCTAGGCCCCAAGCATCCGCCCAAAGCTGCGAGTCCCTGGGAGGGTCATTGCCCACAGTGTCGCTACCTTCTTCGGGATAACTTGGACCTGGCTCTGCATCCTAAGGCTGCGCTCCAACCCTGACACACCTCCTAACCCTAAGTCCCCCGCTCCAGAAGGGGTGGCCATCGTGCCTGTCACCTTAGAGAGTACTTGGAGGCCAGTCAGATAGAGGGGGCGGGGCAGGGGCAAACCCTCTTCCCACTTCCCATCTTGTCCCCCAGCAGCAGGGCACGGGCTGGACCACCCTGCTCGAGGGGAGCAGGGACCAGTGTTTATGCAACTGTGGGGAGGCCACAGCCCGGCTGGCAGTGCTGCCCGCCCAGCTCGGCGCTGACTCAGCACAGCCCAACACACGCACTGGCACTTGTACACACACACACACACACACACACACACACGCACGCATGCACGCACGCACGCATGCACGCGCACACACAGGGGCAAATGGATATGCACACATGCACCGACAAGTAGGCGTAGACATACAGGTATACACCCCCAGTGGAGGATGCTGAGGCGGGAGGGGTGTCACCATCAGCCAATACAACCCCATTCGACAGGCAAAGGGCGCCAGAGCAGCACCACAACCACGGCATGGACAGACATGCTTTGGGAGAAGGACTGAGCCAGGGTCTCACTGGCAGTGATCCTCCTGCCTCAGCCTCCTCAGTGGGGGGCATACAAGTGGGGCTGAGCCTCAGCAAGGGGGCCCGGACTGCTCAAGCCAGTGCTAGGCAGACCTCGCACCCTGGCCTGTCTCCACCAGCCATCCCAGCCTCCCCTCCTGGTCTATACAAGAAGGTGGGGATGGGTGTAGCAGGCACCTGTAATCCCAGCACTAGAGAGGCTGAGGCAGAAAGGTACGAACCACGTAATGAGACCATGTCTCAAAAAAAAAAAAAAGAAAAGAAAAGAAAAGAAAAAGAAAAAGAAAAAAGGAAAAGAAACCCTGGCCGCCCCCGGCCTGTGAGCGATCACCCTTGGCAGTCCATGCCAGCTCACGCTGGTACCTTTTTCAGGCTGAGTAATATTCCACCGTGTTTGTATCCACCGTGCGGCTGGTATGGACCAGGCTGCTGTGAACACAGAACCAGGCTGCTGTAAATACCAGCCTGGGATCCTGCTTTTCACCGTTCTGGGTTTATTCTCAGAAGTGGAACGGCGTGGTCACAGGGAATTCTACGCTTCATGTTTTGCGGCCTGGTGTCCTGTTTTCCACGGTGACTGCACCATTTCCATTCCCAGAACAGCACAGGGCTCCATCACTCCAGCCCTCACCGACACTTGTTCCCTGTTGTGGCTGCTGTCCACATGGCCTTCCCGCCAGTGCGTCTCCTTGGGCTCTGGCCCTCCTCCCCTAGGACTGCGGAGTTCACATGTCCTCCATCCCTTTGCCCTGCCCTTAATCAGGTTGCCTGGGGGTTTTGCTGCTTGGTAGGAGTTCTTTGTATATCGCAGTGGTAGATGTGCCAATCCAGAAGTCTCTGTTGGGTTGTTACCACCCTGGTGGCCCCTGCCTCACGCTCACACGTTCCCAGCCCTAGCTGCTTGCCACACAGCCCTCCTGGCTCCAACCGTGGGTCTGGCTACATGCGCACCCCTCAGTGTTCTGAGGCCAGCCACGCCCGGCCTGCGCAGGCGCTACAGGAGGAAGCACCCGTGGAAGCCTATGTGCAGCACGCGCTGTCACACACAGATCCCCACACTCGCCGGCACCCACAAGCTCTGGAGCTTGCTCTTACACACCCATGTTCCCACCACAAAAACACACAGACTTGCATTCATGTAAGGCCACGGACAAGGCCACAGTGTGGGGGGAGGGTTCCAACCTCCGGGGCCCCCAGGCTGCACCCTGCAGCTGTCTCCTGCCCCGGGTGGCTCTGCCTCCCCGACCCTTCGGGCCACCTCCTCCAGGAAGCCTCTCTGGCGGCTCTCCATGGGGCTTCACCAGGGAGGTCTGTTGGGTAGTCTGCTCCTTTCACTGAGTGGCCACAGCTGCCCTCCAATGCAAAATGCAGGCTGAGGAGCCCACTGCAAAGCCCGGGAGGCCACCCCTGGGGACCTCTAACCTGGCCTAGAGCACCCCACATGCAGACAGCTTCATCGCCCCCATCTGACTCCAACAGCTGGGGGCAGAGTGCCCGAGTGACACAGGGCTCCCACTCAGGCTTGAGGTCGCCTGTCCACGCAGACCACACTCTCTGTGGCACCCATAGGTCACAGTGGGAGAGAGGGCAGGAGAGAGGGGAGGGCACCAGGAGGCTACCAGTTCAGCATCTCCCACCTGGCGGCTGCGGCGCATGGCACGAATAGAGGCCAGCGAGAGGGTGGCTGGGAGGAGAGGGAGAGAGGAGGAGAAAAGAAGGAAACAGGCAGGGAGAATGGAGGGAGGATGGAGGAAAGAAGGACCGATGCAGGAAGGCAGGTGAGCAGGCTTTTATTTAGGAGCCCATGGTGGAAGGAGAACACAGCGGCAGGCCAGCACAGCTTGACAGGGGACACAGATGATGGTGTCCCCATGAACAGAACCGGTGTCCCCATGTGGCTCCCAGCTCCCAAGAGCACAGGCGGCCTCAGGCGCGGCACAGAGCAAGCCCCGGAGGTGGCCAGGTGCCGGGTCTCGCCCACGGGCTCAGCTGGTCATGATGTGCTTCACGAATGCTGGAGGGGACAGGGCCAGGCTGAGCACCACCGGCTGAGCGCCTCAGCCCAAGGACAAGGCTGCCACCCTCCCAGCCCCCCAGCCCACCTTCATAGTTGATGCAACCGTTGGAGTCCTCCTGCCCGGCCATGAGCTTCTCCACCTCATCTTCGGTCAGCCTCTCACCTGGCAGGAGCGGGAGGCTGAGTCAGCACCGGCCGAGTGAGAGGTGCAGGGAGGGAAGGGCCGCTTTCCAGGACCCTCAGTTTGTGGCCAGAGCCCACTTCCAAGGCCAGGAGGACTTGTGACCAGAGGACTCTGGGCATCATGGTGTTTAGATGATCAGTTGCCACCCTTTATATTTTTTATTTTGAGATCCAGAACCTCCCTAAATTGCTAAATGGCTCATGCAGTACTCAGATTTGTGATCCTCCTGCCTCGGCCTCCCAGAGTATTGGGATTACAGCTGTGCACCACCACACCAAGCTCCAATGCACTTTCTTTATTCCTGCCCAAAGGACATTCTGCCTGTCACCTGCCATCAAGGCACATGGTTGTCCCTCTCTCCAATTCTCAGGCCCAGCAGCGATGGGGTGGGGCAGGCGGCCCTTACCTAGTGTGGCCAGCACATGGCGCAGCTCAGCGCCCATGACGGTGCCGTTGCCCTCCTTGTCGAAGACCCTCAGCCCCTCCACGAAGTCCTCGTAGGTGCCAGTGTCCTTGTTCTTGGCAATGTGCTGCAGCATGGGCAGGAACGTGTCAAAGTCCATCATCTTGTTGTTGAGCTCTGCACAAGGGGTGGGACGAGGCGTATACTAGGGTCTGCGCCCCATCCAGGGCCAGAGTCTCCCGCCCGCTTCAGCTGGCACAGGCCAAGCCACAGCCATCAAGGCCTCCCTGAACCTGCACCACACCGTGAGCAGCCCTGAGAACCCTCCTGGGCAGGGCCCCTACCTTCCTGCTTCGGCCTCCCCAGGACACGGAGCACCTCGGCCTGTGTGGGGTTCTGGCCCAGTGCCCGCAGGACATCCCCGCACTGCCCGTATGTGATCTTCATCTCGCCCTTGGGCGTGCGGTCAAACAGCATGAAGGCTTCCTTGAACTCTGCAGAGGAGGGTGGGGAGCTGCAGGCCACCTGAAGGGGGCCTGGATTGCTGGAAGATCCCAGGCCAGGCCCCAGGCCCCACCCTGCAACCCCAGGCTGCGACCCCACTCACCTTCGATCTGCTCTGCTGTGAACTCGATCTGAAAGAGGCCCAAAGTCTCTGAGCGCCTGATCCCAGGGCTAGCCCAGGACCAGCCTTAGCATGCAGGATCTCCTGCTGGTACCCGTTCACATGCCCGCCTCTGAGTCCCTCTGCCCCTGGGCAACCCCAAGGCCTTGTGTCTGAGTCCACCCTGCTGCTGCGTGACTCAGGGCAGGAGGATTCTGATTCTTAGCAGATGTCCCCAAGGCCACCAGGTGGGCTCCGCCATGCACTGGGCATGGATGTGTGTCTCTGTGCATGTCCCCTGCAGCACTGCCTACACCTGTGGCCATGGCCAGGACAGTCCCCACCCCACACAGCATGAGGCTGTGCCAGCAAGGGTCCACAGAGGCCACATCACAGCCACCAAAGCCGGGAAGCCTTCTGGGACCCAGTGACCCCTCCTCACCTGACATCAGGTCTATTTTTATCACTGCCGTCACCCTCGAGTTCAAGGTCACACCAGGGAAGGAGCCTGGAGACAGGGGCCATGCCTGGCGCCCTCCCTTGCTGTTCCCTAGCAGCCACACCAAGCTACAAGGAGCATCCAAGGGGACCTGCTGCCCCACCACCCTGCCCTGCTGTCCCTCCTCAAGCTGGGGGACCAAGCTGGCATTCACAGCTGGGCCCTCAAAAGAAAGCTCTCTCCCCCAGGAAGGGACTCAGACCCCCACCTCACCAGGCAGCTTGGGGCCTCTGGGTCGGCAGGAGGGCCCTCAGGGCCCCGCACCTCTCTGAGGGGAATCTGCCCACCACAGAGCAGGAGAAAGCAGACAGTGCCAGCCAGGGTCACGAGACAGAGCCCCATGGCAGGAGCATGTAGGAGGGGGATTGCCAGCCAGCTCGGGGACATCTGCCCTGCAGGGGGACCATCGGGAGGCCTCAGAGCAGGGCAGGAACAGGACCCAGGCAGGGGCTCTGGGAAGGGGACGGGGGAAGGGCAGGCAGGCGGGCAAGGAGGGTGCTGCAGGTCCTTGGGAGGCAGCCGGGGCAGCAGCAGGCAGAGGGCAGGGGCAGGAGCCAAGCGTGCCGCTATGCGGATGCCACAGCTGGCAGTCACACCGAGCCTCCGAGTTTAGACTCGGAACGGCTTCCCAGAGCCAGGAAGCACTCCCGGACTTGGGCCGGAGCCTGCACCCGCTTCCTCCACAGCTTTGCAGGCATTCCTCTCCGACCTGTGCCTCAGTGTCCCCACCTAAAAGCTGAGGCCCAGGAGGGCTCCATCAGCTCTCAGGGATCGCAGCAGGGGTGAGTGTGGCCCAGTGGTCAGGGCTCCTCTACTTGCTCTCCGCTCTCCCCCTCTCGGAGAGTGGACACGGACAGGAGACCCTGGCTGGCCAAGGAAGGTGCCCGCCTGGCTACAGGGGTCTTGGTGCTCAGGGTAGCTGCCTCCAGGACCCTCAAAGATAATGGGGTCCCAGGAGATGGGCAAGGCAGTGTCCTGAACCAACAAGAAGACCTTCCCTTCCAACCACAGCCAGGACTCCCTGTGCACAGTCTCCCTGAAGCATACGCCAGTCCTGCCTGGTATCTGACTGCCATTCCTCCTGCTGCAGACTGTGACCGTACCTCAGTGTGCTCCCCTGCCCCTGCGACATGCACTCACTGCCACAATACAGCTCTCGCACCCACCTTGATCTTAGAGGCATCAAACTCCACCTCCTTGGGGCGCTCAGGCTCAGGCGCGGGTGTGGGTGCAGGTGCCGGGGCTGGAGCCGCTTTGGCCTTGGCCTCTTCTTTCTTGGGCTCTGGCTTTTTGGGGGCCATGAGTGCTAGAAGCACAGAGAGGGCGGTGGAGGAGGACACAGGGAGCAGGGTAGGTGAGCACCCTGCCCCAGGGCTTTATCCTCCTGGACACCTTCTGACCCCACCCCACCCCCACGGGCACAATAGGGACAGGGCCATAAAAGGGCATTGGCAGGCTCAGGGGCTATTTTGGGGCCTGGGGAGGGCATTGTTCAGGCCCAGGAATGGGGAGAGGGAGGGCTTGCCATTCCTACCAGTCACCTGTTGGGGAGAGGGGGGTGAGGGGGCCAGAGGCTGGAGCTAGACATGCACACACGCACGCGTGTGCACGAGCCTCAGCAGCCTGGTGAGGTAAAAGCTCAGGACAAGAGTGTGCAGCTGGGGGCGGGACAGCCCCCGCAGCCTGGGCCGCAGACCTCTCTGGCCTGCGGCTGTGTGCACAGGAGCCCCATGTGTCTGGGGCTCCTGCATGGGGCTCACCTGTCTGTGCTGGCTGAGGTGCATGTGGCCCTGGCCCTGCCTCTGTGTGCTTCTGTCTAGGTGGTTTGGTTTGACTTGGTTTTGCTAGGGCTAGGACTGAACCCAGGGCCTTTACACTGAGCTACATCCCCAGTGCTTTTTATTTTTATGTATTCATTTAAAGACCAAGTCTTGCTAAGTTGCCCAGGCTGGGCTCCAACCAGCCATCCTCCTGCCTTAGCCTTCCAGAGCACTGGGATCGCAGGAGCTTGTGTGCGTCTGCATGCCACTGTTGGCCCGTGGCAGGCAGCTGCAGCCCCGCTAAGAGTCCCAGGGGCAACTGCATCTCAGGGGAGCCGCAGCTGGGCAGGCGTTGCCCTGGGCCCAGCCCAAGATGCTCACCCTCATTCCTGAGGCTCAGTGACCTCTTTAGCCACCCCAAGTGCCTACCCTGGAGGGCAGGGCTGCTGCACAGCCTGCTCGGGCCGCTCTGGAGCGGCAGGAGGCTGAGGCAGCACAAGGCCTTCGAGTGTGAGCTGCAGAGCTCGGAGACATCTTGCGCACACATTGGGCCCAGCCCTTACCCTCCTCGGTGCTGGGGTGGGAGGAGGGGGTGTGCCTGGTTATTTTTAAGCATTAGGAGCCTTTGATAGTAACTTCAGAGGCAGCGCCACCACCCCAGACTCCAAGGGAGTTCCCAGGGCGGTCAGGGATGCAGCCCAGCCTGAAAGGACCATGCCCCCCACACCTCCACCTGGGGCCCCCACGGCCATCCCAGGTCTCCCTCAGTGGTCACTCAGCTCACTTGGATGGTTCAGCAGTCCAGGGCTGGGGGCCTCCCCCCACCCCAGGAGACATTCCTCTCCTCATCTGGAGGGCAGAAAAAGCTACATCTGGAAATCTCACAACATCCGGGGCTAGGGGGGCACGTTTTTCACTTTTCTTCCAGATGTTTGGCAATAGTATTGAGAAAGAAGGAGGTGGGGGAGGGTCCAAAGAGACAGCCAGGAGCACTGCAAAGTGGGGACAGCTGAGGGATGCGGCGAGGGGCTTCTGGATAGCCCCAGCCCAGGCCTGATGACCACAGGACTACTGATGCTGAGTGACCCCACTGGGTGTGGGCACCAAGACAGGACCCAGCCTACTTTCATTCATCAGTGCCAATCAAGCCCAGGCCCCTGTGTCTTCCTCCTGCAGCCACTCTGCCTGGGAGAACACCTGGCATGGGCTGGAAGGCGGCCCATGAGTGACACTGCATCCTGACCTCCATCTCAGCCACCTGCCTCAGCCTGGCTGCAGCCAGAGGGCGATGGCATCCTGGTCCCCTCCCCTTGTCCACAAGGCAGGTGAGGCCTGCAAGCCCCTTGAGATGGAAGCCAGCCAGACACTGGAGCCCAGGGCTGCCTTGGATACCTCAAACCTTCACCAATTGCTGGGTGTGGTAACACACTCCTGTGAGACCATCCCATCGGAGGCTGAGGTGGGGGATGCCCAAGAGTGCCAGGCCAGCCTCAACTACATACAAAGGCTGTCTCAGAAAAACAAACAAACAAAAAAAGACAGATGAAAAAAAAAAAAGAAAGAAAGAAAGAAAAAGGGGGCCAGGGAGATGGCTCAGTGGAATAAGCACTTGCCTGGCAAACACAAGGGCCTGAGTTCAATCCCTGGTTCTGCAAAATAAAGAAAAGAAAGGGGCTGGTGAGATAGCTCAGTGATCTGAAGCACCTACTTAAAACAAGCTTAGCAAAAAAACACAGGGACCACGGTTCAATCCCCCAGCACCACATGCCAGCCAGCCCCGCCCCCTGGTGGGCTGAGCTGGCCACACACACACACACACACTCACACACACAATTTAAATAAATAAATAAATAAAAATAAAGAAAAGAAAAAAGAGCCAGCCAAATAGCTCAGTGGATTAAAGTGCCTGCAAGCAAGCACAGGGGCCTGAGGTTCAATCCCCAGGCCTGCCATGCTGCCCCCCACCCCCCCCAGGGTACGCTGAGACAGCAATTGAGACTGGGTGTGGTGGCACATGCCTGTAATCCCAGCTCTTGGGAGGCTATAAACAGGTGCATCACTACAAATCCGATGTAGTACTGAGACCTTGAACACCCTGTAGATCCTTCCCTAAAGTACAAAAAAAAAAGGAGAGAGAGAGAGAGCACCAGCTCCCAGCAAAGACTCAGTGGTCAGCAGGACTGTCACCAAGGCAGTGGGTGGGGGCCAAATATAGTTTGGAAGATCTGACAGGGCCTGAGAGGCTTAGAGAGTCCGAGGGCCCTGCATCCCCTGCCCTGGGGTGCAGCTGTGATGTCCTCAATGAACCCTCAGACTGTGCTGCCAAGCCCAGCGGCAGTTCCTGGGGGATGGTGTGAGTGCCCACTTCTGCAGGCCTGTGGGCTGAGGCAGGACAGTCCTGGTCACGTGGTCTTCACCACAGTTCTACTAGCCCCTGGGCCTGTGCACAGACTGGGGTGCCCCTACAGCCCCTTGCCTGGGCCTCTAGCCACCAACAGCTCCTTGTCACTCTCTGACCTCAGGCACATGACTCCTGCAGGCAGCCTCCCCCCACCATCCTGCCTGCCTGCTGGCGCCCCTCTCCTGCATATCCTACCTGAGGGCTGCTCTACTGACCTGTCCCATAGCTGTATCCTTCCTCTTGTGCCAGCTATCACAATGGGAATGTGTCCCTTAGGTCCCCAGAGCCTGCTGCCCAGTGACGCTCAATGAATATCAGATGAACAAATACCCAACATCTCTCAGTGTACTCCCGTCTCAGTGAGGGAACAAACCCCCTCTGGAGCCCCTCCTGGAGTGGGGTGAGGAGAAATGTAACATCATTGCATGGCAAGGCAGGAGCTCTGGTGACCACCTCCAACACCCCCTGCAGCCCAACTCTGCTCTGCTCTGCTTGCCACCCCTGTCCCTGGCTGAGGCCCATCTCAGCAGCAGGCAGAGGGCAGGTGGCCCCGTGGAAAGGATAGGAACCAGCCTCTGGGTCCCAAAAGCAGACTCCAAACTTGGAACCTGGACCCCAGACTTGAGTCTTACAATATAAATTCCAAACTCAGACCCCAGAACCCAGAGTCCAGGACCAAACTCCACATGAAGGACCTTAAACCCAGAACCCAGGTCTGAAGCCCAACATACCAAACCCGAACCTTATACCCAGACTCCACCCTCCAGGCCCAGGTCCAAGCCCAGGTCTCCTACTTCAAACTCCAGAACTGTAACCACAAAGACAGACCCTAGGTCCACACACAGACGGGGGCCAATGGCTGTTCAGATTGGCACTGCCCACTGCCCTGTGGACAGGTCAGCTCTGGCAAGCCTTGGTGGTGGGTGCTCGGAGACCTCCCATGTGTGTGCACATAGCCCAGGACGCATCAGGGAGCGCAGGCTATGGTAGCCACCACTGTATGTGTGTGTGGGGGGGGATGTCCCTTGGGCCCCAGAGCCAGAAGCAGGGAGGAGGAGGGTCAGCCTCTCCCACGTGCTCCCGCCGGGCTGCTGCAAGCTCCCTGGCTGCCTGGCCCTCCCCGGCCCGCCTCTCCTGGCCCACAGCCCCTGGGCTGGGCTGCAGGCCCACACTTCCCGGAGGAGTTGAGAACGCGGCCTGGGCCAGACCCAGAGCCTTAGAAGTAGGTCAAATGCTGCCATGCGGCAGGTCCGGGGACCCTGTACTCACCCACAGACACATGCATGCATGGCAACCAAGACGAGATGCCACTGCATGTTGGGTGCCCCCGACGCCCCTACATGGGGCCCCTGGGGGGCTGCCTGCTGTAGATAGGGGCACTGGCTGTACGCCGGCAGGGTAAGGGCCACCTGGCTTTCCTGGCTAGAGGCAGCCTGAGGGAGGTGCAGGACCAGGAGGAGATGACCATCGGCGCCCGTCTGTGCCCCCCGCAGCCCAGACGCCTCCTGTGAAAGTCTGACTCCAATGAGGACTTCCCAGCAGGGCTGCTCTGCCACCAACAGGATGTGGCCCACTTCCCAGAGGCACAGCCCAGGGATTGAAAGATGGGAAAGACTGCCCGAGGGGAGGAAGAAGACTCCCTGGGCTCCTGTGCCCAGGCTGGGCCCGCTTCCTCCTGGCCTCAGTTTCTCCAACCTGTACCACAGGCCATGATGGCTTCCCATGACGGTGGTGTTGGAGAACAACCTCTGCCCCGCGTCCCGGGCCATCCTCACCACCCCACGCCACACACAGACAACTCTGTCCTCGGCGGGCCCCTCCCTCTGCCCACTGTGCTGACGGGGACCAGATGCTCCAACCTTGTGGTTCTCAGGGTGGGGGTGGCCAGCTCGAGGGCTGGCAAGCAAGGCCTCGGTTTGGCCCAGGGACCTATAATCAACTCCTGCCCCTCTGATCCTGGCCCAGGACTGACGCTTGGTGCTGTGGTGTCCTGGCCGGCTGTGGCCACGGCCGCTATATTTGGGAGCCCGATTCAGCATGCAGGAGGGGTGGGCAGGCAGCAGCCTCCAGGACCTAGGGCCTTGGGAGGGGGCAGGGATGGCGCAGGCCAATGCCCCTTGTGGGGCACTGTGGGCCAGGGGACAGCCCCATCTGTTCTCAGGGGCCTGGCCTAATAGGCATCAGCCTGACCTTGGATAGGTGGCACCAGTAGAAAATCAGAAA